CAAATTTTTAAAGTCCAGGCGGGTTTTAAAATGAAAAAAGAACTTTAGATGTTAGACACAAAACCAGTCTTTGAAATAAAAATCTGAGCTGATGAAGCAAACCACATGTAGATGACTCAGAAGATGACAAGGCATTGACCTTTAGGAGAGATGGGCCGGTCTTCGTGGCCCCTCCTCCTGGCTTCCGGGCTTCTGATGACGTCAACCCCTTCCCTTCTTTCCTGGGTCTGGGGTGACAGCTGCTTCCTGTACTCACTGTGTGCCTTCAGCCCTCCGAGCCATCCCTGTGTGACCACCTGGGCTCGAGGCATCCGTGACCTGCGGGGGTCTCAGCAGTCACCATGCTGCCCCCTGCACTCGAATGGGGTGAAGGGCCAAGGACAGCAAGTGCCTGAGGAGCCAGAGCAGCTGCTACCCTGAACTGTCATGGAGGGAATGCCAGGGACTAAGGCTGGGCTGTGCAGTCACTGCAGTGTCCCTGGGAGGAAACTGACAAGGACACCTGCCTTACCTCTCAGCTCAAGTCACAGGATGACAGCCACAGCTCTTCCATGGCAGCCTGCAAATTCCCCTGTGCCTGTTGGGCTGACGGGACTGGAAATCAAACACAGCATTCCACCGTGCAGTTGCAGAATCCCCAGGTCACTTGAATTCCCAGCCTCTCTGTATTTCCTAGGTAAAAGGCAGGGCACTGCCTGGCCGAGTGGGGCCTTGAAACTGAGACTCGGGATATCTGGTTGCCCTCAGTGGAAGCTGACAATGGGCAAGCCCCCAGTCCCCCAGAGCCTCCCTTGCGGACGGAAGTAGCTTGCCCAGCTGTGTCTGGAAGGCTGGTGTTCTGTCCTTTGAGGACTGTGTCATTACCTCACCTGGTGCTGATCCCTTGCAAGGGGACACAGACTGTCCTCCAGACCCTCTGCCACCACGTCCTGTTGCCACGAGACCCATAGTGAAGTGAGTGAAGTCAAAGTCACTCAGTCGTGTCCGACTCTTTGCGGCCCCATGGACTATACAGTCCATGGAATTCTCCAGGACAGAATATTGGAGTGGGTAGCCTTTCCCTTCTCCCCAGATCTTCCCAGCCCAGGGATGGAACCCAGGTCTCCCACCTTGCAGGTGGATTCTTCACCAGCTGAGCCACAAGGGAAGCCCTTTAGACCCCTAAGTGGGTCCAATTACTGCCTGATCCAGAGCACAGGGATACAGTACGGGTGGGGACATCTCTCATCTCTGCCCCTCTCCGCTACACTCCTCCCTTCCTGCTTGAGTGGCCTGCAAGTTTTCTGTTTGTTCTTCTCAGTAAGCAGGGAACCCCATGGGGACCATTTCAGGATTACTGAGTGTCAGGCACCCCGTTTCTCATCCTGTGCATGGCCCAGCAAGGTATTGTGCCACAGTAGGGGGATAGAATGTACCTGTCTTCCTCTCTGGTGGCTGGTAAAGCTGTCCCTGGGAGGCATATCTGTAGGTGGGCATGCTCCGACTGGAGGACTCCACTCCCAGACCCCAACTCTCCACGTGGCATCACTTTCTCTGTCCTTTTATGTCCCGGAGGGCTTGTGCTGCACACCGTTGCCACCAGCATTTCCTGCACCTTCACGCATATCCGCCACCACGCCCCCGCCCCGTCCTTCCACCCCTACCTCAACCACCTCAGCTTTCTCTTCTCTCGGGCCATATTTCTTGCTCTCTGCTGGCCGTCAGCCCTAGGTTGGGAGCACTGCCCTTATTCGGCTTGTTTATGGGGACCCAGGCCGCCGCGGGCCTCTCTCTGCTTCGGGTGCTGAGGCTGCAGCCTCACACCGTCAGTCTCCTCTTTCAGGGCGGCCCCACCCCCTGGGGCGGTGCAGGTGACGCTGATTGGCTAAGGCTCAGTGAGTGACCGGACAAAACCCAATGACGTGGCCCGGGCCGCGCGGATTGGCCAGCCCCGGGCAGGCGGGCGCAAGGTGTGCAGAGAGCCGGCGGGCGGGTGGGGTGCAAGCCTTCGCCAGGCAGTGGCCAAATGGTGGGTAGGTACAGGCGGGTCGGAGGTGGGGGGTTCGAGCTGCCAAGGCTGTCTAGGAGAGTGTTGGCCAGAGAGGGAGGAGGCGGGGCCCATTCCCTGCCGAGCCCTGGGTGATCCCAGTGAGGCTGGAAAGTGGCTTTGGTGTGCGTGCGTGCGTACGGAGTCCAGAAGCCACTGCTGGGGAGTGCGAACGCACCACAAGCTAGGGTAGCCCTCAGTGGGGACATTTATATGACATTTTTAAAATCCTGGCCACAGCCCTATGGGAGAAGCTGTCTCCATCCTCAGCACTGTCATCCCCTTTGACAAATGAAGCAGGCCAAAATGGGTGACAGTTCACCTTTACATACATGAGTAGGCGACCTGCAGATTAGAATCATGCGGCAGGGTCACCAGAGTCTGTGGCTCCAGAACAATCAAGGGACATTCAGTCACTTAAGTGCCTAGACCAGTTGACAGCATTCCTGTACCCTATCACCTCGGCTACTCTGCACCCTGGAGGTATAGCTGGGCCACTCTCATTCCTACATGATCATCTCTCCTCCAAGCCCCTATTCCTAAGATCAGCACTTCTGTTCTCGCCCAACACCTGTGGGGGCCTGAAAGTCTTTTGGAATGGAGATTTTACCATGGATTGTATTTGGAACTCCATTTAGGCTTCAACAGTGCACTGCTGCACAGTATTTGTTGTGGATATCCCCAAATCAGGCATTATACATCTAAATACAAGCTAGTGTGGTGCATGGTCACACATCCTGGCTTATCTGTGTTCACAATGGCTTTACCTTAGAGTGCTTTATAGATGTCATGGTACCACTATGGTCATTGTTTCATTCACCCCTCATCAATCTGCTTTAACCACACACACACACTCAAAAGAGTAAACAGAACTATCACATGACCTGGCAACTCCTAGCTTTATATACACCCAATGTAAGTAAAACTATAATCCACAAACTTGAAAATGAATGTTCGTAGCATTATCCACAGTAGACAAAAAAAGTCTATTTGCTTGTAAAAAATCCAGATTTCTACAAACTGATGGACAAAACAGTCTATACATAAGATGGACTATTATATGGCCATAAAAAAGAATGAAATTCTGTAACATGCTCTAATGTAGATGAACCTGGAATACATTATGCTAAGAAGATAGGAGACAAAAAGGTCACATACTGTATGATGCCCTTCATACAAAATGTCCAGAATATGTTAAATCCCTAGAAACAGGAAACACATGAGTGGTTACCAGGGGCTGGGACAGTGAATGGGGATGGACTACTCAGGGGTGCAGTTCTCTCTGGAGTGATACAAATGTCCTAAAGTGAACCACAGTGATGGTTACAGAACTCTCTGAGTATGCTAAGTACCACTAAATTGTATTCTTTCAATGGGTGAACTGCATGGAATGTGAGATGTCCAGTTAAGTGAGGTAAAATTTTGATTATTTGCATTTTATCAATTTTCTGTATGACCCTGTAATCAACTGTTATTTTTATAGAAAAATGTCAACTACTTACTATTTACTTAGCTGCACCAAGACTTACTTGCAGCATTGCAGCATGTGGGCTCTAGCTCCCCAACCAGGGATTTAACTGAGGCCCTCTGCATTGGGAGTGCAGTCTTAGCCACTGGACCATCAGGGAAGTCCCTGGTATTTTTAGTATTTTTGTATTTTGATAAATTTGATCTATTTTCTATCAATTATATCAACTATTTTTAAAATTTTTGAAGTCTTATGAAATAAACATACTAGTTATGCTAATTTTACAGGCCAGGGAACCAGTTTAGTGATTTAAAAAGCCAGGAACAGAAAGACTAAGCCCTGAAGACGACTCAGTGGCAGACTGGTTCTTCCATCTCTAGCACACATTCTAGAACAAAAACCCCTTGATGACCAGTTAGTGAGAATGAGAGAAATAAGGACCACGACATACCAGATACATCCAGTCAACTTTAGTTTTGAAGCTCTGGTCTAGCTTTCATTTATCTGGCAGGTATTCTCTTGTATTCCAACCACATGGTTTAAATGCTCTGACCTAAAATAAGGAGTTGGCTCAGGGCTGGCTTTTCAGGCTGCATACTGTCCTCTAATGGTCTACCTCCTGCCCACTACCCTTTCCAGGGCTTGATGGGGACATGGATCTCTATCCTGGTTTAAAGAACAGCTTCTTCCTTATTTAGGATCTTATCAAGGGGAAACCAAATCACACATATAAGGCACAAACAGAGCGAAACAGCTAGCCGATTCTTCATTGCTTTACTAACATCAACTTTAGTATCGTCAGTAGATGAGTACAATTGAGCTAACAGTTTGGTTTGGTCACTGGGTAAATAAGACATTCCTGAGATCTCACCAGAGAGCACAGTGTGGAGGTCAGACCTAGTCGTGTCCTCTCTTCACAGAACAGTCAATTCAAACAGCACAGGACATCCTAAGAACTTTCACCGCTGCTCCACAGCCTCTGCACAGGAGAGGAGGGATGAAGGCAAACACCAGAGGAAATTCCACACCAACTGCAGTCACACAGTACCTGGAAGGCTACAGGTAGGATAGTAGCACCTGACCTCATACACGGGCCATCAGTGGGCAGCATGGTGGTATAATGCTGCCCAACTTGGGTGACTGCAGTCTACAATTCAATTCACATTTTTTTTTAAGTTATGAGGAAAATGCACACATTTAAGAAACTGTTACCTTATGTTGGTCTCTACCCCATTATCTCTAGTCTCATCAGAAAACTTGCTATTAGATGGTTGTTTTGTTAGCTATTCTGTCACTTCAAACTTTCTCTTATAATCCACTTTAATGATTCAAAGGTAAGAGTTATACATGTATATGTAGTTATGGCTTAACAAGAAAGCAGTTAACTTGCATTGTTTTTAAAAAGAATAAAGCACAATAGCAGAGATTTAAATGATCATTTGGCAACAAGCATAAACATAAGGTAAGGTAAACAGGCCAGTCTGTTGGTCAAAGCCAACAGCTAAGCTATTGCATTAAAATACGTTCCACAGCCAATATGATGTGTTTGGAACTGATTCCAAACATATCCAGCAGATCACTGGGCTTCCCGCTCCGAGGGACCCCTGACACTGCCAGCTGATGGACCACGATGTCAGGCTCCACGGAGACGGCTGCACAGACGGCCTCCCCGATGCCACCTGCAGAAGCAAGGGATATTAGGGTCTGTTCTGGAAGCAGCTCGTCAGCCTCAAAACCCCATCATGTAGAGACCTTTGAATGTGTGATTCCGTGGGAGAAATGTTTCTCACTAGGCACTGATTTATAAACAACCGTTCCCTAACTGGCCAGAAGAGTTCTCATTCAAAAGTACAAGTCTTCAAATTGCTCCCAGCCCTACTCATGGCTGGGGTTATCTCCACTGGGGCTCCATGGACGCAAGGATCTGTGGAGATAGAGTCTCAAACCTGTCAGGAGCCCAAGAATTGGCTGCTGACTTCGGAAAGGCTGGCGTGCAAGGCTGGCCCGGGGGTGGTGCCGGGGCAGTAGGTTGGTGCGAGTCCTTGATATAAATGAGACACTTTCTCTACTGCTAAGAGTGGTCTCTGTGCCTCAGCTGTTGGCACCACAGGGTGGTTTATGGGGCGCACCTGCTTTCCTCTGGGAGTCGGGAAGTTTGGCACGTGAATGGCAGCCATCAGCCCTTAATAATACTCGTGGCAGTGAGTCTCGAGTGGGTTCCCTAGGTCTCCAGGGGGGCATCTGTTGCCGCCAGATAAGGGAGCAAGCTGGGGGCCCCCCAAAGGAGGGAGTGAGGGAGAGAGAGAGAGAGGGAACCAAAGGCATGGGGTCTTCACCCCTGACCTGTGTCTTCTGCCCCCTGGGGGTCCCAGTGTGTGCCGTTTCCTTGGAGAGTGCTTCCCTGCAGACCACGGGCTTGCTCTGGAGCCCCTGACACATGAACACATGAAGCTCCCCACTCACTCCTTTGCTCTACCTGACCTTCCCTGGCCAAACACTGCCCAGCCCCTCTCCCTGGCCACACTTCCTCCATTTGCTGTGTTCTCTGCTTGCAAGGTACTGTCTTCAATTTTTGCAAGGGGCAAACTATGAATCAGTCAATACACAAGAGCAACTGTGAAGCTTCTTACGATCCCTCCTGCCACAATGCCAAGTTAGACATTCCTCTGTACTGCCACTGAGCCACCCAAGGACCAGGCAGGGCACACTGTGCTGAGTACACACACAAATGAGGATGGACATGAGACCTCCCTTAGCTACTGTAGATGTGCAAGAGACCCTACACCCACACCCTTGCAAAGAGCAAGTAATACAGGGTGAGTGGTTGGCTGCAGAGACTTGGACTGCCCATGGTCATGGCATACTTCTGGTCAAGGAAAACAAAACATGTTCCACCAAAGCAGACTATCAAAATGGTCTGCCCCCAAGGCTTGCACATACCTTCTGGGTAGTGATCCTCCACTGTGATAATCTGGCCACCTGTGGCTTTTGCATTGGAGATGATGGTGGCAGCATCCAGAGGTTTAATAGTAAACAGGTCAATGACACGGATAGAAATATCTGGAAAACAGCAATAACCAGCTTAGTGTATCAAGCAGGCTTAGACTAAAAAGATGCACTGGGGCAGACAGGCAGCCCAACCTCCACATCTTCCAGCCCAAACTTCAGTATTCAGCAACCCCCAACTGACCTTGCTTGGAAAGATCATCAGCAGCAGCTAAGGCTTCGTGCAAAGTAATTCCAGCTCCGACAACTGTAATCTTGTCGTTCACACTTTGACGGATGACCTGGTGGTGTGCCCACAAAACAAAAGTGCTGCGCTTACTACACGGAATGAGTCTCCCAAGTGGAGGACAGGCTGCTCTCCAGAGCCTACCAATTTCAGTGCTTCACAGTTCAGCACACTGACCAATAAGGACTTCTCTCTTTAATAAGCCCCACTTCATGTTTATTTAACAAATTTGTCTACCTTTCCTCATGATTTACAATGCCAAATCACTAAATTCTTTTACAGTATGTATGCAAAATGACCCTTTACCAAAGCAGGTGGATTTCCAACTGGAATGTGAAAGGCAGAAGGCCAGAAGCAAATTGGACAGCCCATCTGCTCCAGTATGGACTCAGCCCCACCAAGGGGTCTGAAAAGGCACCACCTCTGGACTGCTCAGGCCTCTTTCTGGGGGCATCCATGCAGATTGGACTCTGATGATGAACATGCTAATGAAGGCTATTTGAGAGCACCTTGGGGTGCTCTGTTCCAAGCATCCTGCATGCCCAAGTGCCCTGTGATGCCCATGCATTAGTGGGCCCATTCTGTGACCGAGGAAAGCAAACCTAAGAACAGGAGGAACTCACCCAAGGCAGGGTTGAGACCAATAGCCAGACCCATATGAATTCAAAGCCCATGTTCCCAACCATCTGCTAGTCTATAAGCAGACAGGGTTCTCTGCTCTTTTTTCATTGGTTTGTTTCTTTCAAAGTCACCCAACCAAAGGCACCTGGAATTAGTCTGCATTGCATTCCTCTCTATAGGTTTCCCTGTAACATAAGCACCACTGCTGACTAGATATTTAGGGTTTCAAACCACTTGCCCCATCCTTTAAGAATGTCCTAGCCTTTGTATGTGCATGTATGTAAATATATACACACACACCTATATGCCCCTTTGCAAACCCAGCCTATAATTATTCATGCCATGCATATTATCACACATAATTTAACTCACATCAGGAAATTTACTTCATTTTGTCAGGATAGGACAAACATCACAGGGAAAAAAAAAGACGAGAGAGATGTGAAAACTCTGAAAACCACATGACTGTCACCGAGACACCCTCTCTGCCACCCCCAGAGGCAAAAAGATGGCCTTGAGTGGGAGTCCAGGGAACAACAGCACCTGTAGTTTACACTGAAGAGTTCAGCTTTTCCATTCAGTGGAATGAAACTATGGGGGGGCTAGGAACTCTTCTGGATATACCTGCTCTCCTGTGGCACTAAAGCTATTCAGAGCTCATTTATTCATTCTGAGCACAACCACTGTGAATTCTGGAGCAGCCTAGCCCTTATCAATCAAGTTGGAAGTCACGTATTGCTCCTTTAAGAGTGACTATCATTCTTTTAAACACTTAAGAAGGGTATTCTAAAAGGCTTATAAGATAAAAGGCAGGACATAAAACAGTCCTACGCAGCATGATCTCAGCTAAGATATACACCTAGAAAAAGTCAGGAAGAAAACATGCCCAAACGTCTGTAAGGCCTGCCTTCTAGGTGTTGGACAATCATGTATTTTCTCCACATATGCTATTGGCTTTCTGCACACACAACTCTGAAAGGCAGGCCCACAGACAGCGGGTTGCTTACTGGGCTTGCTGCTTACCCTTCTTTGGCCCTCATCTTCAAAATATGGCTGCTAACTATCTGTGCTTCCAAGGCTTTCTCAAGAACATAGGAGATAGGAAGCACCCAGCAGGCCTGAAGGTGTATCCACATCCCACAAAACCAACCTCAGGGCCACACGATGGCCAGAGGCAAGATGGTTCATGTTTGTTATATTCCTGGCCTCCAATGGGCAAAACAAGAACCTAACAGATCTCAGATCTACTACTCATTTGAAATGGGTTCTATCATTTTCTTAGCTTGACGCTGTCTGTGGTAACGTACAGCCAAGCAACTCAAGAGTCTTCAAGTTATTTATCTTTAAGGGTTCAACAGAGACTCCTTTCGCAAAGGAGAAATGTTAAGTTCAGGCTGACATTGGCAGAATATTACTTTCTGAAGAAAAGCAGGCAAATATCATGAATTTTTAAAAAAACTAGAACAAAGGAAGAATGAAGCCTCAACTGTCGGGGCCCCTAGCTCTGGCTTTAAAGAACAGTGCTCCCAACACAAACTAATACTGGAAGATACAGGAGAACTTAAGGCCTTACCTTCGCCTGTCCAATCTCAAAGCTTTCTTGTGGGGTGTAAATAATTGCAGTTTCTGGCCGACTGGTTCGAATGTAGCACATCCCCTAGGGTGTAAATGAATACCAGAGCCACAGTTTAGAAAATAAAACTAAATTTCCAACTAATAAACCTTAAAAAGCAGCTGGGAAGGAATGAACAATTCTTAGTACGAAAAACAAAATGTACATTCTGGAGCGAGGGATAACCATCTCTAACCACTGGCAACAGGTCAGGTGTTACTGATCAGGAGGCAAAAGCCTGTGAGGGAAGCTGCTGGATGCCCAGTGACAAGCTCTCCATGCTATCATGCTCACCCCTTTGGGAAAGCTTCCTCAGATACACCCTGATCTGTTCTGTCTCGACAGAATGTAAACTCGGGGCACGAGCACTTACTTGCCTTGAATAGAAACCCTAAAACATAATGGTAAACAATTTTTGTCACAACAGCGTGTAATACTTCATTCTTAGAAATACCTTAGATACCAGAACATAAAATTACTCATCTTCCAATGAGAAGATGTCAATTTTTTTCATCATCATCACCTTGAACATATAAATAGAACTATAAATGAATACTCAAATATCTATAGAGTATTTGTTAATTTTTGTGCATGCGTGCTAGGTCATGTTGAACTCTGCAACCCCATGGACTGTGTAGCCCGCCAGGCTCCTCTGTCTACAGGGCTTCCCAGGTGGCACTAGTGGTAAAGAACCTGCCTCCCAGTGCAGGAGACCTAAGAGACCCGGGTTCAATTCCGGGGTTGGGAAGATCCCCTGACAGGGGGAAATTGTGAATTCTCTGTGCCACCTGAGAACCCAATAGTTGATTTACATACATATTTAAATCATACATGATAAACTAATACATTAATTTAAAAACACTGCTTCCTTTTGTTCATTTACATGCTATGAACCAGTTCTGTTCAGTACATTCTTAGGAGGTAAAATTTAGTTAAGTGGAGCACACCCTGAATTCTGACAAGTTATACACCATGTATCTGTCTGTCTCCTCAGACTGGAGAGCATCTGTACTTACCCAGAAAGTTCCCGCATGCCTCTCTCCCACCCAAGGAGCAACCTCTATTCTGATGTCTCTTTTGAACTTTCCACAGTAAGATACCACAGCACACATGAGCTTGTGCTGTATGTGCAGACATAAAATAATGTCCAGGATAATACACCAAGTAGAAAAGTACAGAACCATGTGTGAGCCCACTTATGTTAAAAAAAGAAAAAGAAAAAAAAAGTCAAAGAAACTCATGTCTCCCACACGTTGGAAATGCCAGGAATGGAACTTGCATGTTGCATGACCCACCTCAACTGTGTGCAGGGCTGTGTGCAGGGCTGGGGGGTTGTGGTGGTGAGGTGAGTCCGGTGACTGCTAGCTGCAGAGTTTGGAAAGGTAAAGATTCTGTTCCCTCAACTTTCCTTCAGCTGCAGGGTTCTGTGTCTCCTGCACTGCAGGCAGATTCTTTACCCTCTGAGCCATCAGGGAAGCCCCTGCAGCTGGGTTCTGGACAAGAGCCAGGTTGTGTCCAACTGATGCCCCGGGTGAGACTTCAGGAGGGGCAGGCAGGGCAGAAGTCAGACTCTTACCCTTCTAAGCAGTTTTTGAGGAGGGTGAGCCAGGGCTGGGGATTCTAGGGTTCATCTGCAGCTGCCGCTGACAACTCTCCAGCTTTCTGGCTATCACGAGGTGGCAGTCACACACGCTGAGTCTAACACCTGCACCTGGTGACTTGTCACTGGAGCCCACTTCAGTGGGCTTGGCTCTGCCAAGGACTCCCAGTCCCCAAGTCCCACAGTTTCCCCCTCTTCTTGACCTAGGTCCCACCCCATACAGGTCGCTGGGAGTTTGACCTTTTCTGCACTGTTTTTTTACAATTCAAATGTGTTCATGTTCTACATGCTTCTATTACCCTTTTTGGGGTAATGGTTCTATCTTTAAAGGGAATCCTACAGGACTTCCCTGGGGGTCCAGTGGTTAAGAACTCGCCTGCCAGTGCAGGGGACACAGGTTAGATCCCTGGACCAGGAGGATCCCACATGCCACAGAGAGACTAAGCCCATGCACCGCAACTACTGTAGCCTGTGTGCACCCTAGAGCCCATGTTCTGCAACGAGAAGCCATCACAATGAAAAGCCTGCACACCACAACTAGAAATGAAGTCCCACTTCCTACAACTGGAGTAAGCCTGTGCAGCAACAAAGACCCAGTGCAGCCAAGAAAAGGCTGCAATCAAATTACCTGTGACAAATATCTATTACCTTTATGATGAGACAAGTAATATCAAACCATCAGTACCAAACTAGCAGCAGAGCCCAGACACATTGTTTGTCTGCACCAGCGTTCTCTAAGAAATAGCTTGGTATTGGCTGCCAGGAAAACAGCATGCTCTGTCGAGATGGCATCACTTGGATAGAAAATCTTGCAGTTCGGAATGGCTCGGAACATGGCTAGGTCCTCTAGGGCCATCTGGGAGGGGCCGTCTTCACCTGAGAAAGCAAAATCATAGCCCAACAAAGAAACCCCAGTAGGAGCCTGCCCTCCACTGGATGAGTGACTGTGCTGCCTGCCATGGGAGCCACCATCCCAACAGTCGCCACAGACACTGCAAGCAACACAGCAGAAGCCACTTCTTGGCCTCGAGCCTCGCCAGCATCTGGCACTCAGTGTGACGGGTACTGCTGCCCTAGGTGACCCGCACTCTCTTCCAGGTACCAGGACTCTTCCCGTGTCCTCTTCTCTGAGGAGGGTCCCTCCAGACTCTGTTGTTTCTTCTCTGTGCTTTTACCTTTTCCATCAAGAGATGAAAGTTTTCAGACTCGAGTGGTCTCTCATTTCTCATGGCCTTCAAAGTAGCTGAGCATTACAGAACATACCTTCAGGGTGCCCTGGGGGTACTGTTGGAACTCATGGACTTCATTGAACCCAATGTACACCAGGGTGTCCAAGCTCTTCCAGCTAGGAAGGGGACTGCCATCATGGACACTGCCTGGCCTGGGACTGTTGTCTCTCCAAAGAACTTCAGTTCCTCTGGGTTGGACTTAGAACCACTTTTCCACTTGGCTGACTTGAAAACTAACTTTGCACCCAGCCCCAGGAGAGGCCCCTGTGCAGGCCCTCCTCTCTCCTCTTTTCCCTTGAATCTGGCCCACAGAGAGTCTCCTTTGCCACTCAAGCTCTCCCTGGAAGTCCCTGGGACAACACCCAGATGTGCAGTTCCAGCCCTCCCCTCCAGCCTTCTGGCAACAAGGGTCAACTGTCAGTCACATCTACCTTGATGACCTACCCTGCCACAGGCATGTCAGGTGCCCCATCTTTCTAGAGTCCCCACTGCTATCCTCCACAAACACAACTCCCAGATGTTTCCTAGGCAAGAAACTACTGGGCACTGGCGTTTTGCTTCTCATGCAGCTTGGGACTTCTCCTCCTGTCAGCAATGTTGACGTCTTTCCACAGGCTCTTGCAAGTTTGTTCCATTTTCTATCCAGTGCTAATGCACACCTCCATCCTCCTCCTGGCTCCCCCATTTCCCATCCACAGTTAATGCCCCGATGTTGGGCACCTCGAGGCTTCCCATTCTATCCAACCAGGCTGCTTATCCCAGCAGAGCCCTGGCAGGCTGTTTGTCCCAACTCAGACTAAGGTGACCAAACAGCAGGAAAGACTTCTGTGATGCCAGAGTGGCCTAATCACTACTAGTATGTGGCTTGACACAGAAGAGGTACTGAGGATAAGTATTTCTCAATGACTGAAACAATGGGCACTTTACAGTAATACCAGGAGATCAGCTAAAAAGTTACCCAGTTTCTGGAACTTCTAAAATGGCCTTTTTCAAAAAACTGGTTACAAATAATCAAACTAATATCATGGAACTCTATGTTGGGCAGTTCAACTGCTCACATGCTGATCTTTCTCTGTAAAGGAGGAGGGCAATTAAGATGATGGCATTGAGAACTCATACCTACGGACACCCCACAGTGGGACCCAATAAGATTGATGTTGGTTTGCGAGATGGCTCCCATCCGGATCTGATCAAATGCTCGGATCCAAAAGGCAGCGAAGGTGCAAGCAAAAGCCACGGTGCGACCACGGGTGACACATCCCAGTGCCACGCTCACCTGCATCACAGAGAAGCTGAATCAGAACACTCTTGGAGCCCACTTCCCCTCCTGTTTCCCAGTGTAGAGTGTATGCTTCTCAGGATCACCTATCCTTTGTGCCCCCTCACCTTGCCACACCCCTCCTCCAGCCACATGGGAAAACCCCAAACCTGGCAAATTCACTGTGTCCCCTGAACACTGCCAGAAATGAGAGGAACTGAAGTGCTGGACCCATTCCTTCATATCCAAGCTGGGGAACCTCGAGACACTCAAGGCCACCCTGCAGTCCTTGTGGCTCTCCTTCCCACTCTCCTCGTCCCCTGCCTCTGTCCCCTCTCCCCACCCTGCTGAAGCTCATCCTTCTCCTGCTTTCTCAAGGGCCTCTCTGACCATGCAGTTGTCCCCTCCCCTCCCATGTCACCTCAGTTTCTCCCTCACTTTCCCCTTGTGCTCCTGCTCCAGATCCTGCACTTCATCCATGTTCTCCTTCACAGGAAAACCTTGCATGCTCCCTCATCTCCCACTTTCTGCACATTCTCCATCATCTAGGCCGCCATCCCCATGAGGGACCTGGAACCTGCCAAATGCAAGAGGTCACCTGAGTTCCTCTGCATCGCATCTGACCTCTGAGGAGCATCTAGCACTAGGGAACGCCTGCCTCACTGGATGTTGCTGCTCCCTCCCTGACTGGATCTGCCAGGTGGTGCACCTGGACTAAGTCCTGGGGTTGAGTGCCACACTCCTCCTGATCTGCCCTCTTCACAGGGAACCAGCACGGGGTCCCATGGTGTCATTCTGATCTGCATGATGCTAAGGTCTCCTCTGTCCCTCTATTGCTCACCTCTCCTGCAAAGCCAGGCTCACACACCCTGGTGGCCTTCAAACTAGAAGATGAGTATCTCAGAGGTAAACAGAGACCTTCCAAAGGGCGCATGGCTGTGGCTGGCTGGTCTCAACATCAAGATCCTTGACTCCCACATCTGCCTGCTAGGGAAAGGGCCCAGGGCGTCCTTCCCACTGTCTCCCTGAGAATCGCCTCTCAGCAACTAACTGCCAAAAGGCATACTCTCGCCCACCTCAGGTTGTTCCTTCAGTGGGGCAACATCCTGGAATGTAAGAGCTCCAGAAACAGAAAGAATAATTTGAAATAATCACAGCAGCCTTGAGAAACTACAAAGCTCAAAAGACTGGATAACAAATCCTTCCGTAAGTCAGGGGTTTTCCAATTCTTTTAACAAAACTGAAAGTGAACCTAAGTGAAGTGTCAATCCTTTACAAGTAATTTTCCACAAACAACTGGACATGAAAGATCACTGTGATTTTCGGCTTATAGCTGGGACGAGATTCAAATGAACTGAATGACGCTGCTGCAACAAAATTCTCACTTCCCAGCACCATATCTTCTTGAATAAGGTTTTCTGGATCTTACATCATTTAAATAGAAATAGGTTTTGTTCTGAATCTTGTCTCATTCTAGCTCTAAGTGTACTTAACTACTGCTACACAAGCTAAAAATTATAGCCATAGCTCAATCCAGAAGAAAAAAATGGTAATGTTCCAAGGCCTGTGGATGTAGGAAACAAATTTTAAAAACCATCAATGTATATGCATAGTTTATTGAAGAATTATCAGTAAAAGGCTTCCATGAATAAGTAGTAGAATGGAAGTAAGAATTCAGGTGGAAAAACATTTAATTTCTGACAGAGAGAGCCTTTGTCTAACTGGATGATTTAAGTATTCGAGTGTCACAAATTATAATATACGGGAAATTACATCCTTGGCATCAGTTAAATCTAGATGCCAAGAATATATTTAGATGTGAACTTAAAAAATTCAATGAAAAATTTAGTTGTTAACTTAAAGCTTAGATCTACTTAGAAAAAGACATTCAGCGGTTTGGAAAGCAAACATATTTGGAGATAAATGATCTATCCCTTCTGACCTACCTGGCATCCCTACCCCCAGTCTAAGAGGTAGTCTAACCCCGCAGGGCTCAGTGAGACTTCCTGTGTCCCCAAAACCCATTCCTGCCCCAGTCTTGTCTGTCTCCCAGGTGCTCTGGCCTATGCCCTAGTGCCAGCCTTGGTTCCACCTGGTCATCTACTCTGCATGAGTCTGCATCTCCCCAAACCCACAGCCACTGTCCTGATCCAAGCTGTCATCTCCTGCCACTCCCCTACTTCCCTCAGCAAGCTCTTCTCCACACCAGAGTCTTGGGCCCTTCCTTCTGCTCCCTGAACAGCTCCAATCTGGGCATGCAGCAGAGCTAGCTGGGCACTCTGCTGGGAATGCTGTCCCTGGATCTGCACGTGACGGACTCCCTGTCGCTGAAGTCTCAGTTTAAAGGTCACCTCTTCTGAGAGCCTGCTCCTGATTGGCCCTAGTCATGCTCTCCCCGTAGCCACCAGTTTGATCTGGCAGCACAGAACACTACTCACTTGCTGGCTGCTTCTTTACTAGGTTTTTTTTTTTCAGTTGCTGGTTGAACGAATCAATGCATAGGGAAGCAAACTTTTGAGGCTCAATTCAGAAAAATATGAGCTGTATTTTTTTCCATTCAAAATAGAAATAAGGAGACCCACTGAAAAATGCTCATATCCTTACAATTTCAATGACCTGGTTTACTGAACTGAGGGGCTTAGATTCCAACACTGACAGGGCCAGGGAAGCACCGTGAACAAAGGAGCAGGCCAGCCAGAGGCAGGGACATGGTGAGATGGCTGTGGATGCCCATCTAAACAGGGCCCCTGCTTGACTCCAGCCAACTGGTGGCAGGAAGGAGGGAATGTTGTTCCAGTGTTGCCAGATCTTCCCATTCGTTAAGAAAAATCCAGAAATCTGGATTCCATATAAAAATTTCCTGACTTTAAAAAGCTGGCAACTAATTTAAAATATTTGTAAATACTATTTGTTCCAAACAAAATATCTCTGGTCATGTGAGGCCTACTGGCCCACAGATTTCTGGCCGGTGCTGTTTCTGGCCTCTGTGATGTGAGGGTCAATAAATGTGTGCTGTCCTCTGCACGGGTGCAGAACTTGAGAAGTCAAGGCATTTACTTGCACGAACACTGAAATATCTAGGTTATATCAGGCCCCAGGGTGGAGAGACAAACCACAATCCCTTGAGGTTCTGCACCTACTGGCCACAGCCAGGCAATCCTACAACATCCCAGGGGCCACCTAGAGCTACTAGGGAGCTGGGCATTCTTCAGACCTGGAGCCCTGAGATCAGAGGGGTGCAGCCCGCAGACTTTCTGGAGAGTGTGTGGGGCCATCTAACCATGCCTGTCCCAGAAATCCTGGAAGCCAACCCTCACATTCTACCTGACTGCTCTCTACGTGTTTCCCTGAGACTTTTTCCCTCCACTTCCTTGGCTTTTATAAGTGGAAAGAAAAACCGTAAGGGGGGCAGGCCTCCTCGAGCGGGTAGCCATTTGTCAATGAGATGACTCAAAGCGATGTTCCTAGCACACGTACCATGTTTTGCTCAGCAGTAAAACACTCGATGAAGCGCTCAGGGTGTTCTCTCTTGAATGTGTCAGAAAAGGTGGAGTTCTTGGTATCACCATCCAGCACAATAACTCTGTCATTTGCATGGCCCAGCTTGGCCAGAGCCAAACCACATGCTTTCTGAGTAGCTATCTGAAAATCAACAGGAGAGTTTCTTGGAATGCATTTAGAAGGCAGGTGAAATTTGGTAGAATTATGAATTGTCATCCTCCTTAATGAAGAAAGCAAATTTTTAATTCACCAATAATCTCCCTTGGGGTAATAAAAAAGGACTGCTGAGACTTCCCTGGCAGTCAAGTGGTTAAAACTCTGTGCTCCCAATGCAGGGGGCACAGGTTCAAGTCCTGATCAGGGAACTAAGATCCCACATGCCATACATGCGGCCAAAAGGGAAAAAGCAAAAAACAAAACAAAAACAGGATTGCTAGCCAATCTTACATCCATACTTCTCTCACTTGAGTATTAATTTCCCAAAAATAAATCTGTTCTTGTCTCATTCTTATAGTTGATTAAAAACTTAAATTTCCCAACATGCAAATGCCTCTGTGACTTATTTTAATTATAAAGCTGGTAACAGGGGCTTCCCTGGTGGTCCAGTGGTTGAGAATCCACCCTGCAATGCAGGGGACACTGGCTCAATCCCTGCTCATGGGAGATCCTACAGCTGTGCAACAACTGAGCCCATGCACCACAACTACTGAAGCCCATGTGTCCAAGAGCCCATGCTCTGCAACTAGAGAAGTCACGGTGTGAGAAGTTGCACAACACAACTAGAGAGTAGTCCCTGCACTCCACAACTAGAGAAAGGCCATGTGTAACGAAGATACAGCACAGATAAAAATAAGTATTTTTAAAAAAATGATAATACTCACTGTAAATATTAAAATGGAAAACTTTGGAATCATGATACAAATAAAAATTAATTCCATTAGCATACTGTTTGAGACTGGACTGAACCCATGGATTAATCTGGGGGAGAACTGACATCTTTACTATATTTTTTCTATTAAAAAAACCCCAGATTTGGTATTCCCTCAAAGAGTTAAACACAGAATTACAATTATGACCCAGTAACTCTACTCCTAGGTAATTACCCAAGAGAAAAATACAAATACACAAAAAGCTGTACACTAATGTTCATTGCAGCATTATTCATAATAGCCAAAACATAGAAATAACCCAAATATGCAGCAACAGATGAATGGATAAATAGCAGCCTCAAAAATTTGCATATTAGATGATCTCATCTATATGAAATGTCTGGAACAGGCAAATCCACAGACACAGAAAGTTAATTAGCAGTTACTAGGGGCTGGGTGGGAATGGAGAGTAATGTTTGTGAATATAGTGTTTCTCTATGGGAAGACTGAAATGCTGTAAGATTCAGCATGGTAATAGTTGCACAACTCTGTCGTATGCTAAAAACCATTGGATTGTACACTTCAAATGGGTATATTGTAGAGAAAATTTTACCTCAATAAAGCTGTTATTAACAAAAATAAGGTTTGTCTCTTCATTTATCTATCTTTGTTCATTCATTTAAACAGTCTTAAAAATATTTTTTAAAACAGGCAATTCACAGAGATGAGTACAAAAGTCAAGTTATGAAAGGATATTGAATGAAGAGGCCATCTTCCTCCTGCTCTCCCAGTTCCTCTCCCCAGAGGTAAGGGAAAGGATAGGGTTGTGAAGTATTCTTCTGACAGCATGTGAGCTTTTAAAGCTATAGTTTCATAAGTACCTTAATATAGACCATATGCATTTATTTTTAGCTATTTTTTATTGCTACTGTAAAAAGGAATAATCTCTCAATTTTATTAATATGAGAAAACAATCAATCCTTATATATTAGTTTTGCTACAAGCTCTCTTTCTAGACTCTTATTTCTAACGTATTTTCTTATTTCTTTTCTTACTCATTCTGATTTCGATTCTCTTTTGAGTTTTCCAGACATACAACTCTACCACCTGCAAGTAGGCTTGCCTTCTCATTGTCAGGAGGGAGTCTTATTTTGAACGACCACAATTTCTCCTCTCTTAATGCTGGTGAATGATTTGCATTACTAATTTGAATTTCACTGACTCCAATACTTCTTTTAAGGCACTAAAGAAGTTGAGACTGGTGAATGTCTTATTTCAGTTCCATTAGTTCAGTTCAGTCACTCAGTCGTGTCCAACTCTTTGCAAATGTCTTATTTAGAATTTTTAAATCAATATTCCTAAGTGAGGCTGGCCTGTAGTTTCTTCCTTTGGGCTAGCTTTATAACATTTTGGCTTCATAAATGACCTTCTCCATATTCAAGAAGATTTGAAATAGTGGAGGAATTAATCTATCCCTTGAAGTTTAAAATTAAGTCACTCTTGTAACTAACTGAGCCTGGCACTTTGGAGGTATAACGCCTAGACGGTTTTCTCAAATTTTCCTAATGGCTGTTATCTCCTTAAGTGTTTTTAAGAATTTTTATTTTTGGCCACACTGTGCAGCATGCAGCATCTTAGTTCCCTGACTAGGAATCAAATCCACACTCCCTGCATTGGGAGCGTGGTCTTAACCACTGGATCACCAGGGAAGTCCCTGACCTACTTAGGCATTTTGTGTATTTTTACTTAACTTTGGTATTTTATGTATTCCTTAAGACGGCCCATTTTTTACATAGGTTTTCATACCAATTAGCATAGTTTTCTCAAAATTCTCTGAATGTTCTCTCGATTTGTGGTAGTCTTCTCTAGTGACTAATTTTATTCATTTATAGTTTTCATCTATTTAAGTAGACTAGGTAACGGCTTGCCTACTATTTAGTAATTCAGAGAGCCAACTCCTAGATTTGTGTATTAATGTGACTTCTTGTTCTTTAATTCACTAACTTTTTAATCAATTGGCCTGTGTCCCTAATTTCTATTAATAAAATATATGCACTTCAAACGAAAAGTTCCAATAATCTCACATACTTTCTAGACATAAACACTTCACCATAATCAATGCTGGAATCAACATTCATTCTATTCTGCAAGCTTGCACAGGTATTTCTGTAGGATAAATACCTGTGAGTTGCACTTCTACTTTGAAGGGTGTGAACAGTTGGTGTTAACACATATTACCAAAGTACCTTCTGTTAATATGTGCTTTTTATTAACAGCTTTCTTCTGCTTTTAAATTTGCTTTCTAGTTTCTCAGCCAGTTCATTTATTATTAATCCATATTACCATGCCAAGAAAACATAAGTAACACTCAAAATGTTCCCAAATAAATAAGGAACACAAATAAGAGTCAGAAAAATTTCCTTCCTCCCAGGCTCGCCGCCTTGTTTCCTTAGGTTGTGAAGAGACTGCCTATTTTGGATCTGCTATAATATACCAGAAGGCAGGACACAAAAATCATGATAAAAACAGAAAGGGTTTATCAGGGTGTCATGCCTAATTTGTTTCCTTTTTGAAGAACTGGCCTTCGGTGAACTGGTGCTCTTCCTTGTGTAAACCAGGGATTAAGCCCAAAAGGTCAATCCAGCTAGGCCCCTGTCCTTCAAGTTGACATAGAATCATGGAGTTTCATGCACAATGGTCTGCCAGACTACAGACTGAATTTAGGAAGCAAGCAAAAACTGCATAGCACTGGACGCAAATAAGTAGTGACTGACTGGTAAGAAAATTCAGACCCGAGTTAAGTTTGAAATCAAAGAATAAATATCAAAATAGTAAAAAGGTAAATCCATCTTTGTTGCTTATAACCTTTAACTAAATGTCACACCACCTAAGAATTGGTTCATCTGGGGAAATCAGAGTAAACAGGAGTCCTCTGTATTTAGCAAAAGCAGAGAAAAAAGTTTGCCTACCATATCCCTGGCTTCATAATCAGGTGGAGACGTCATTTCTATATCTGAGATGTTGACTTGAGGCGAGTCTTCAACAGGGGCTTTTGGTTTGAGACTCTTATTGGTCTCTATCCGGCTCGCAATTAGTTTGATAATTGCATCTGCTCTTTCTTTGGGCATTGGCTTTCCATGCCAATTTTCTTCATCTTCAACACCTGTAACCCAATGGATAAAAGACATTTATTCTGTAACTCACGAGCCCCTGTTCAGTCATCTGAAAGACATTTGGAAGGGAAAGATGTCAGCCACAGAGTAAAAACCTGGCACAAGGGGCCTGACATGGTACTGTGGTGGCAGGAGACAGCCTGGATAAAGGCTGAGAGGCTCTTAAGGGGGCCACTGGCTAACGTGCTGGTGAATGGAGGGAACGGTGAGGGAGGTGAGGCTGGAGACAGGCAGGGAGGATCTTGTGGGTACAAGGAGTTTGAGTTTTGCCCAAAGCAAGATGGGAAACCCCTGAAGTGTTTGGAAGTGGGGGAGGTAACTGATCAGATCCATGTTGTAGAAAGATCACCAATGCAGGCATATGGGGACTGGCCTGAGGAGATTGAAGTGAGGGAGAGAAGACCAGGCTTGGGCAAGAGAGGTGGAGAGGAGTGAACAGACTTGAGACATACGTTAGGAGCAGAATCAATTAGAATGGATGACAGACTGGGTGTGTGTGGGGGGTGGCACATAAAGGAGAGGTGTAGTCAAAGAAATACCCAGGTTTCTTACAGGAGCAAATTGGGCGAGTTTTCATTTATTGAACTGGGTGTACCAGAAGACTATTTTAAGGAGAAGTCAGAGAATAGTTTTCTTCTAAAATGTTAATATTAAGAACACAGCAGAAATCACTCCCACTGCAACTATTTATACTGGAGATGAACAACTTTAGGTGTCCGCTTTGAAATCTGCAAGAAGTTATTAAGATTTTCAACCGCCCTCCTCCCCTGACCCTCAGTTCCACAGCTGCCTTTCCCAGAGGGGCCACTTTACTAGCAGCCTGTGTGTCCTCCCAGGTAGCGTGGGCACAGGCCATTGCATGCATGTGCATACATTCCTGTTTAAGTATCTGCTCACACACCCACTCTCACTCTGCATGCCCTGTGGAGATGGTTCCCTGCTGGTCCGATAACTGATGGGACTATCCTCCCAGCCGCTCCCTCGTGCTCCCTGGTGCTCAAATCACTTGCTGGGCGTCTGGGTTTCCCCTCCCCAGCCCTGACCAGATCTGCTATCTACAAGCATCAAGGAGAGCAAGAGCGTCTGGCACATGTCAGGAGCATAATCACTGTGCATGAAGTCAGCTGTCTTTCTCCTCAGCGAGCCTCAGCCTCATGTGCTGTGCAGAGGCTAACAACCCTAAGCATAAAAGCAACACTTCCTTACTTGGAACGCCCTGGCCCTTGAAGGTCTTGGCAACCACAGCAGTGGGCTTGTTCTTCATTTGAGCTGCCTGCCAGAACACCTGGCACAGTGCCTCCACGTCACGGCCATCCACCACCAAAGTATTCCACCTGTCAACAGAAGAGGCATCCAGGTTAGAAGGCGAAGGGGGAAGGAGCAGAAAGGAGGTGACATCAAGTAGGACAATTACCCAAAGGCTTCGCAGCGCTTCTGATAGACATCTATGGAGTGCTCGAGAGGCAAAGCGGTGCTGTGGGCCAGACGATTCACATCAAAGATGGCCACAAGATTGTCCAGACTGTAGTGGGATGCAAAGGCCAGGGCCTCCCAGACGGAGCCTCCTGAGGACTCACCATCTCCCACGAGGCAGAACACCCGGTAGCTGGGGCAAGTCAAGAGAGGTTATGACCCTGCCTGGGGCTCCTCTGAGCCACTCGAACAAGTACATTTCACAAAGAGAAACAGAGGAAGAGAATGAAGCAGGTGCTTCGGATCACCAGGTTCCTATGAGACAGTTTTCCTTGTCACAGCTGCCCAAACTCAACAGCTGAGGAATCGCAGATTTAAAAGCTTGGGCCTCATGAGATGGGCTGCACCTTTGGCTAATTTTCTCATTCTAGCTGCAAACGCTATTTCTAGGTTCCTTCACTTCTCTGGGTCCAACAAACAAGAGGGGACGGAGAGAAGGCCCTTAAACACCCAAACATTCACACATACAGTCTCTTGGTAAGCTCTTTAAAGAACGACTACCTTCTATTTCTGATCTTACAAACTTATTTACAGTAACCATAACAATCAAAACATTCTACTTCAGGAGCATTTGTTGTTGTAAATATTAAACTCCTCCACAGCAGAAACATGAAATGTTTATACCAATAAAATATAATGCAGACCCGGGCTGTAAATGGACTTTTAAAAAAGTGATTAACCACACAACAGGGACTAAGAGAGGCAAAAAGGAGAGATGAAAAAGGTCAATAGTCTTATGGGAAATGGAGCAGGGCAACTGCCCCAGCAGTGGAGAAAGCACACCATGGAATGTATGTTCTAGTCCCATGGTTCCCCCAGGGCACCTGAGTCTGTGGCCCCTCAGTCCCAGGTTCCAGCCCAGGCAGCCCCTCTGGAAGCACTTTATTGTGCTTTCTCCACTGCTGGGGCAGAAAAATGCTTAAGTGAAATTTTTAAAGAGCGACTTACCACACAACAGGGACACCCCATTTTGCTGCTCCTGTATCAGCAGCACTCAGACACACACCCTTATAATAAAGGCATGAAATTGCCTGTCTTTTGGAAGGGGGAATCATTCCAAAAAGAAACCTTTGATTATTAACATACAGGGGTCCCAAATGGAAAGGTGAACACACCATCTGTTCACTCTATAGTGAAGCTCACTGAAAGATGGGAAACAGGAAGATATCTATCTTGGTAAAGACTTGAATCCTAACAAACTAGTTTCTATACTGCAGGCAGCACTTAGAACCCAACCAGAGATGCCGTAACAGTTTCCTGAAATACGATTTCTTTTTATTGCTTGAATACTTGGTGACCTGAACTTTTAAATCACTGTATTCCCAAACTAATAAAGGATAAACAAAGCCAAAGTGCCAGGGGTGGGGTAATTGGAGAGTTAAATGGTTTCTGAGTAAGTGTCTTACCTGGCCTTGTCAAAGTACTTGCCAGTATACGCCATCCCACATGCAGCCCCCAGTCCTTGCCCCAGCCTTCCAGCTGCCACATCAACAAATGAGAGTCTCTGTAGGAGAAGGGACCAAAAGAACCTAGGTTAGGAGCACCTGCAGGGTGCACCAACTTCCTAGGATAAGGCACCAAACAAAGGTTACTCTTCACTGCAGCCCCTCCCACCCTGCAAGGGAATTAACTCTTCCCCACACCCACATGCACTCCAAGTCTCAGATCAACATTAAAAAGACAAGGAAGTCACATGGAATCTATGCAGCTGGTGAGGGCGACTGCAGATTTGACAACATAGAAGAGGGCAACTTCTCCACATGGCAGCCTAAGCAGAGCCCAAAAGCAAACCCAAAAAAAAAAAAAATCTAAGCATGAGCCTTGCCATTTTCACAAGGCCTTTTATCTAGCCATATACAAACCAGATGTTCAATGTTTTTGAAGAACATGAGCTCTTAAACAGGAATCAGAAACACTGAAGACTTCCATTTCCCTCAAACTCAAGTCTACTGAGATTTGGGAAGGGGTTATGTAAAAGGTCATGCTAGAAATAAATCCCTTTCCACCACCACTCCATTGTTTCCCCCCACCCTGCTTGTAGGCACAGGCTGTCACTAAGGAGGTGTCAAAGGTCTGCTGCACTGAGGCCCCACTCCCAAGCTTCTAAAGAGACACCAAACTTTGTCAATGCTTCCACTGCTACCATCTCAGTCTGTCCACAAACCTCTCTCTCCTCTGTCACTGCAGTGGCCTCTCCGCTTCCCTCCACAGTCAATTCTCAACACAGCCACCAGGCGGAGCATGTTAAAACCTAAGCCTCAATCGCTGTGGAGAACTGTCCAAGGTCTTGCCATCTAACGTCAATGGGGGTTCTTGCAGTGACCCCCATCACCTCCCACTCTCTCCCCCACTGCCCCGGGTGCCTGGTGTCCTGGATGTCTTCTGAATGCACCGGGCACACACCTGACTCAGGGCTTCAGCACTTGGGCCTTCCTCTTCCCCCAGAGTGCCCAGTGCTTATGCCTAAGAAGGGGCACAGCTCACTCCTTTCAACTCTCGGCTCAAATGTCGACACCAAGACCTTCCTGGAACATCTCTTTCACCTAGTACTTCCTGCCCCTCCAGTTCCTTTGGATTTAGGATTCTTGGCATGCTAGCTATTTCTGGGTTTGTTTCTTCTCTGTCCCCTCCCTCCATTCAGATGTCAGCTTCATTCAAGCAGACTGGTTAGTGTTGTCACTACAGGATGGCTGAATGGTACTTGTGAGTTCTCGGATCCCTCTCCTGTCTTGATCCACCCTATGGTTCTGCTCCTCCTGGGGCTCCTGACCTTCCTCCATGTGCTTCGTGCCCTCACTCTTTTTCTGTTTTGCACCTCTAGCTCTGACAACTGTCCCACTGAAACCCCTCCTGACAACCTTTCTAACTTTGTCTTCTTCCCCACAGCTCCTACTTTACTCCTGTAACAAGCTCTGGTTCCCAGGTGCCTTGCGTGCCCTTGGACCAAGCCTGGGCTCTATGCTCAGATCAACTCCACTTCCCCCAGGTTCCCTTTTCTTTTCCAAGAACTCCTAAGCTGTGTGGGGACACACAACTGAGGCGGTCCAAGACCAAGAATAAAGATGCACTCAGTGTGCCAAGGGCATCCAGAAAAGAAAGTCTTCTCTTCAAGGCAGCATTTCTCATCTTTGTTCTGACACAAAGTACACTTCAAGAATAGGTTTACAAACAGGCTTTCTGGTTACTTCCCAGGCCTGCTTCGCTGAAGAAAACAAAAGTTTGTGAAACAAAAACTAAGGCCAGGGTGGTGGATGGAGGGATCATGAGCACCATGAGGGCTCCAAGGGAATCTGAGCACTTCATTTAGCACCATGCCCAGACCTGAGCAGGTGGCTTCCATCTGTAGCTGTCTGCGTAGACACCGGTGCCCTAGGAGCACGGATTATGAAGACCCTGGCTTCTTGGCCTCCAGCAAGTCCATTTACTCTATTCCCAACCAGATCCGAGATGGACTATGCTCCTGAGTGTTTTCTAACTTTATCTGCTGCATAAATCTGACGAACACACAAATTCTGGTAGCTAACCAGTGTCCAGCCTGCGACTGCATGCCAGAAAGTCACTCTATACCTCTAAGGCTAATGACTCTGATTATGACAGCAGCGGTTATGAGAGAATCTAGGCTTTTTTTTTTTTTTAGGCCATGCTGTCCTGCTTGCAGCCATCTCCTGGACTAGGGATCAAACCTGCACCCGTGGCAGTGGAAACACCGAATCTTAACCACTGGACTGCCAGGGAATTCCCGCATCTTTCTCTTTTTATTTGGCTGCATCCCATGGCATGGGGTATCCTACGTCCCCAACCAGGGATCAAACTTGAGTCCCCTGCAGTGGAAGCACAGAGTCTCACCCACTGGACCACCAGGGAAGTCCCTCTTTCCTTTTTTAAAAAACTAGAGCTCGAGGGACTTCCCTGGTGGTCAAGTAGTTAAGACTCTATTTTTCCACTGCTGGAGGCATGGGTTCAATCCCTGGTCAGGGAAGTAAGATTCTGAATGCTGCAGCCACCGCCCCCCACCCAAAACCAATAAACAAAAGAAAAAAACAAAACCAAACTAGCGCTCTAAACAGTCATACTTTGTATATCTATAGCTATTCACTTTTTATGATGAAGGAAATATAAACTTACAGAAATGTTGTAAAACGAACACAATGAAGTTCCCCATATTCTTTACCTAGATTTTATTAGCTATTACTAATTGCACTCATCTGCTTCATCTCTCTTCCTCTACACACATCTTTTATTCATCCCTGGGCAAACCTCACTTGAGATTACATTTTAGACATCAAGACAAGGGTCATTAACTACAGCTCCAGGTTCTCTGCCCGTACTCTGCCTTCTCTTTACTTTCCACTGCTTAGATCTGGGGTTTCTATTTGCACATGATGTTCTACCAGTTAAGTTTTAAATGCTTTGCTCAGAACACAGCAAACCTTCAGATAGCATCAAAAGAGCTGCTTGTTCTCCTAGATAGATCTTGTTTTTAACATTCCTTTTCTTTCCTGTCCTCCAATGTCATGAGGTATCTGGTTACCATATCGAGCCTCATGAGAAACTCCCTACTGGGGATCTGCAGAAAAATGGAAGAGAAAGCTGACTGATAGGAGGGGGATGTACCTTCAAATCAAGCTCAATGTTGCCCTCCTCTACCCAGGTGGCACAGGATGGGAGCAGCAAGGCTCTGGGTAGGGGGGCCTTAGTGCCAGATGGGTTAAGGTGAAGTACTAAAGGAAAACAGGGGCTGCCAGTTGCTGCAAGTCATCCTTCCCACTATGCAGTTTTTGCTAGAACACCTTTTAGATCTTTATGAGTTGCCACAGTCTGAATGTTTGTGCCCCTCCTTCCAAATCTCTTATGTTGAAAATCTGAAGCTGAAGGTGATGGTATAAGGAGGTGGGGGTCTTTGGGGAGTGATTAGGTCATGAGGGCAGAACACTCAGGAGTGGGGTCAGTGCCCTTATAAAAAGGGAAACCGTTTCTCTTTCCACCTCACGATACAATGAGAAGTCCGTAACTGGGAAGATGGCCCTCACAAGAACACAACCATGCTAGTGCCTTGATCTTAGACTTCTCGCCTCCAGAACTGTGAGAAATAAATTTCTATTGTTTATAAGCCACCTAGTCTCTGGTGTCTTGTTATACCAACCTAAACAGATGAAGACATAAAGCAAAGAGGGAAGAACCAAAAGGATAAACAGAGGCAAGTGCAGGCCTTGTTGACACATGGTGGCTTTTAAAATGAATTTAAGAACCAAGTTTCTGAGCTGGCCCTAGGTTCCTGTGTCAGCTTACCTTAGAGAAGACGAAACGGTCATTGTCTGGGTTCTCTGGGTCCTTTTGTTTATACCTCATCACGTGGAAGAACAGCACAGACATGATCTCAGCAGCATGGCTACATGATGTGGGGTGGCTGGAAGACATGGCACAGGTCATTTCTCACAGGCAAGTGACTCACCAGGGACACACACAGTGCACAAGGAGGCCTTTCAACACATGGTCTCCTCAAACCAGAAGCAGCAGTCATTTCTTCCAGCCCCAGAAGAATCCAGTCAAGGGAAAGGGATGCTAAGCCACTCAGTGCCCCCCCCCGCCAAGATCACAGCTTTTAAGAATGCTTTAATGCCCAGTAATCTCACAACTCCTCTCCCTGAAGAGAGCAAGGCCTCATAGACAAGCCTCCTCCTATCAGTGGAGCATCGGCATACTTGGAGTTCACCTGGCTACTCTGTAAACATTTGAGTATTATTTCACTTGAATTCATTTGTGGTATCATTAATCAGAAATTCCACGAAGCAGAAATAAACCCACGCTTATATGGTCAACTAATTTTTGACAAGGGAGCCAAGAATACTCAATGCAGAAAGAACGAGTCTCTTCAACAAACAGTAAGGGAAAAACTGGATAGTCACATGTAAAAACATGAAACTAGACCTCTATCTTATACCACTCACAAAAATTAACTTGAAATGGATTAAGACTTCAATGTAACACTGAAAACCATAAAACTCCTAGAAGAAAACATAGGCACTAAGCACCTTGACCTGAGTCTTGGTGAGGATTTTTTGAATCTGACACTAAAAGCAAAAGCAAAAAACAAAACAAAACAAAACAAAACAACAACAAACATAAACCAAGTGGGACTGAGTCAAATTCTTCATGGCAAAGGAAACCGGCAACAAAATACAAAAGCAACATACTGAATGGGAGAAAAGTATTTGCAAATCACGTACCTGATAAGGTGTTTATATACAAAATATATAACAAACTCACACAATTTCATAACAACAAAAAGTCCTATTAAAAATGGGCAATGGATCTGATAGGCATTTTCCCAGAGAGGATAGACAGCCAAAAGGCACAGGAAAAGGTACTCAATGTCACTGATCACCAGGGAAATTGCAAGTCCAAATCACAATGACATATCCCCTCACACCCATCAGAATGGCTATCATCAAAGAGGTGAATTAACAAATGCTAGCAAGGATATGCAGAGAAGACAATGGCAACCCACTCCAGTTCTCTTGCCTGGAAAATCCCATGGATGGAGGCACCTGGTGGGCTGCAGTCCATGGGGTCGCTAAGAGTCAGACACGACTGAGCGACTTCACTTTCACTTTTCACTTTCACACACTGGAGAAGGAAATGGCAACCCACTCCAGTGTTCTTGCCTGGAGAATCCTAGGAACAGCTGAGCCTGGTGGGCTGCCATCTGCGGGGTCGCAAAGAGTTGGACATGACTGAAGTGACTTAGTAGCACAAGGATGTGGATAAAAGGGAATCCTGTGCACTGTCAGTGGGAATGTAAAGCAGAGCAGCCACTATAGAAAAGAATAAGAGGATCTTAAAAAATAAACAAACAAAAAAACCTACCTTATGATCTAGCAATTCAACTACTGGGATGTATCTGAAGGAAATGAAAACACTATGTGGAAGAGATATCTACACCCCTATGTTCACAGCAGCATTATCAAGCCATGGAAACAACCTAAGTGTCCACTGATAGATGAATGGGGGATTTCCCTGGTTAGGAAACTACGATCCCACATGCTGTGCCACCAAAACTAAGTAAATAAATAAAATACAGAATTTATTTAAAAAAGATGAATGAATAAAGGAGATGTGTGGTACATATATATTATGTAATATAATTCACTCATGAAAAGGAAATTCTGTCATTTGTGACAACATAGATGGACCCTGAGAATATTATTCTAACTGAAATAACTTAGAGAAAAACAAATACTGTATTATCTCTTATATGTCGACTCTAAAAACAAAACAAACACACAAAAAAACCACACCAAACGTCCAAACTCAGAGAAGATCATCAGATTTGTGGTTACCAGAGGTGGGGGTTGGGGGGAGCTGGAATTGGATAAAGTTATCAAAAGCTACAAACTTCCAGATATGGGAAGTAAAACACAACTAAATGACTATAGTTAACACTGCTGTATGATATACACTTGAAAGTTGTTAAAAGAGTAGATCCTGAGTTTTCATTACAGGGAAAAAAACATTTTTCTTTTCCATTATTTTAAATCTATGAGATGGTGGATGGTAAATAAACTTGTGGTCATCATTTTACAATATATTTAAGTCAAATTATTACGCTAATATATTAATGCTGTATGCTCAATTGTTTAGTTGCTAGGTCGTGTCCCACTCTGAGTGACCCCATGGACTACAGTTTGCCAGGCTCCTCCGTCCATGGGATTTCCTAGGCAAGAATAAAGACTCAAGTGGATTGCTATTTCCTTCTCCAGGGATCAAACCCTCATCTCCTGCATTGGCAGGCAGATTCTTTACTGCTGAGCCACCAGGGAAGCCCCGTGTGCTCAATTACATCTCAATAAAAGTGGGAAAGAAAATTTTTTTGGTGGGGGGAAGAAAATTTTAAAAAACCCCAATGAATAAAATGCATTCTACTACCTAAAATGAATTTTTTTAGGAAGTAAATGGTCAGACTGAGAAGTTTCTCATGGTGGAATAACTTGAGGCCCTTATAGAATGGAGCAACCCTTGCTCTTAAAAAGCAGCTTTCATAGGCATCCAGGCAGGCACTCTAGAGCCCTGCCATGCCCCAAAAGTCAGAAGAGTAAGATTTTAAGTGCAGCTCATGTGTATTACTAATCTCCCCTTTCAAATTTCACAATACAGAAAATGGAGAGTTAAACCTCTTGGCTTTGCAAGTATCTCCTAAGTAGATGCTCCTGTTAGAGATCTCTTGAGAAAATGTAAACCATTATTAGTTTAGAAGGTGAAGGGAGCAAAATGCAAGTGTAAAAAAAAAACAAAACAAAAACAGAACCATGCACATCTCCATGACAGGGTGAAGTTAGAAGTCAATAATAGAAGGAAAATGGTAAAGCTTACACTTGTGTGGGAATTAGGCAACACACTCTTAAAATAACTTTAATGCAGTATAATCTGTAAAAATACTGAATCACTGTATTGTACACCTGACATTAATAATGCAAGTCAACTATAATTCAATTTTAAAAGAAAACAACAAAAATCCTCCACAGTGTACTTAAATGAATAGGTCAAAGAAGAAATTGCAAGAAAAGCTGATAAACTTTTGGAGACAAATGAAATACACATTATACCAAAATTTGTGGGATGTGGCAAAAGCAGTGATGAGATAAGTTTATAGCTGTAAATGCTTGCATTAAAAAAGAACTATCTCTGGGAACCCCCTGGCAGTGCAGTCGTTGGAACTTGGTGATTTCACTACCCTGGGTCCTTGTTCGATCCCTGGTCCAGCAACTAAGATCCTGCAAGCTGCACGGTGAGGCCGATAAATAAAATAAATTAACAAAAAAGTCTCTCAAGGGAAAAAAAGAAAACACCGCAAAAACAAACAAACAAACACAAAGAAACCTAAGTGCACAGTGAAAGAAAGTGAGCTCGCTCAGTCCTGTCCCACTTTTTGCGACCCCATGGACAGTAGCCCACCAGGCTCCTCTATCCTTGGGATTTTCCAGGCAAGAATATTGGAGTGGATGGCCATTTCCTTCTCCAGAGGATCCTCCCGACCCAGGGATCGAACCTGGGTCTCACACACTGCAGGCAGGCTCTTTACTGTCTGAGTCACCAGGGGAAGCCCTTAAGTTCACAACTTACTTAAAAACGCAGAACTAAACCAAAGTTAACAGAATGGAAAAAGTAATAAAATATTAGAGCAGAAACAAATAGACTAGGAAAACAATGTAGAAAATGAACCAAAACAGAAGTTGGTTCTTTGAATAGATTAACAAAATTAACAAACCTTTAACTAGAGTAAATGAAAAAGAAAATTACTAAATGTACTAAATCAGATTTGAAATAACTAATCTCATTTCAGGAATGAAAGTAAGGCTATAACCATCAATTCTACAGACATAAAAAGAACTATAAAGTACTGCAAACAACTGTATGGCAATAAATCATTCAACCTATAAGAAATTTCTAGAAACAAAATCAAAGACGACTGAATCACAAAGAGAAAATCTGAATAAATCTACAACATGGAAATCGTATCAGTAGTGGAAAAGCTCCATGACAAAAAAAACTTTGAACTTGATGGCCTCACTGCTGAATCCGCAATTCTCTTCCAACTCTTCCAGGAAAAAAAACAAAACAAAACAAAACCCTGAAGAGAACACGTTCAAACTCACTCTGGGCCAAAATCGTCCTTATACCAATACTAAAGGCAGACAAACACCTTCCAAGAAAACTAACGGCCAATATCTTTTATGAATATTGACAGAAACATCTTCAACAAAATACCAGCAGAAGCAACAGTCCCCCTTTGCTCGGATTCTTACTCCCCCATCACTTTCTTTTAAGCTTTATTTCTCCGAACTCCACCTTCTGGGTTCGAGGCCTTGGTGTCGAGGACACCTCCTCACACAAACAGCGCCAGGCCGCTCCCACTCCCACGCTAGCCGCCCAGGCCATGTACTCCACCCGCCGCCCCCGGGCTCCTCTCCGTTAACCTGAGAGGCCGGAGGCCCCGGGCTGCCACTGTCGGCCGGCCACGGGCTCGAGAGGGGTGGCTGCCGGAGGACGTGGCGGCCAAACCCGGAGAGCGTGAAACGGGGCCTCCATAACCGAGCCCGCCCCGCCCCCCGACAGCTCCCCCAACTCACTCCACAGGAGTCCCCGCAGGGCGAGCCACTCAACGACCCGAGCTTCGACGAGGGCGCCTTACCCAGAAGAGCTCGAGGCGCAGGTGGCCCTGATGGAATGGATGCGCAGGCGATTGGCCATGTCCCGCAGAATCTGCAAAGTCTTCGCGTCAGGTTTGGCTTCGTCCACATTCGCGGCGCTCGCCTCAGCGTCGGCCATAGCTGCGAACACGCCCGCGTCTGAGGAGCAAATGCAGCGGAGTGTGCTGCGTGGCGTACAAACGCGCCGCTCCCTCCGCGCGCCGCCCCTTCTGCGCGCCGCCCCTTCCCCGCGCCCTCCAATCCCACGCATTTTGAATATGTGCCATTCATATGTCGCACATTATTCGCGATGACTTGAGATTAGTCCTTTGTATCTGCCCTTGTCCTGTCAGCTCAAAGAGAGCTGCCTCAGCACCAGCACCAGAGTCTACCTTGGGGGTGGGTGATAAACTTCTGGAACTAGATGATGCGATGGTTGCGAAACGTGTTGAATCGAATAACGGAGGGCCTGTGCGTTCACAAGCTTTAAAAGAATTACAGTGGTTAAGTTTGTTTTGTGCATTTTCTCACCCTATGATAAAAACCACGCTGGAATTTTCCAGTTGGCAGCTGCCCCCTTTCCAGCCCCACAGAAGCCCAACGTCGGGCGGTGGTGTGGCGGGGTCGGGGGGAGGGAACGCGGTTCACAAAAGGTGAAGCGGTTTGAGCGTCTTGAGGCAGCAAGGCGTTTCTGCACGGACCTTGTTTCTTTTTCTAGAACCGTTGAGCTGCTGTGCCCCCCAACACTAGGCTACAGTTCTGGGAGCCTAGCTTAAAGGGACTCCTGTTAACTTTCCATCTTTCTGAAAGCCCTCATCAGCAAGGCCATGGAGCTCGTGCCTGTGACTCTGAGGTGCTCTTCCGTGGTCTCCCTGGTACCGTCTCTGCACCAACACACCCTTCTTTCAGCCACTTAGTTCAAACCTGCCGCTCTTCTGAGAGCCCCCACAGTGGCCCTGAAAGCAGCCAGGGACCCACATCCTTGCTGGGTTAAAAGCTTCGTGCGGTGATAATGGCGCAATGAAACCCAGAACCTCTGTGTCATTCTATTTGCAGTTATATGTGAGTGCGCCTTTCCCCAGGCCCCGTCAACAATGAATATTGTTCATCTATTTAATGTCTGGCCTTCTGATGGATAAGGAAACCATTTTCAATCATTTGTTTCATGTCTGTCTGATTTGCTTCCAGTTATACATTTTTTGTACGTTTACTGGCATTCGCAGTTCATCCTTTCTGATTTGCCTGTTACAACCATTTACTGTTTTTATGTTTGGTAAATTCTTTTTAGCTTCCTAATTTGTAGGAATTTAAAAAATATTATGTTGATTAGTCCTTTGTCTCTTACAGGTATTGAAGATCTTTTAATCCGTTGCTTTTGAAAAATATTAATGGAGATGCTTTTCTTTTTTGGCAACCCCTAATGAGTTTATGTGAGGAGGCCCAGGGAGTTGATGGACAGGGAAGCCTGGCATGCTGCTGCAGTCCACGGGGTTGCAAAGAGTCAGACACGACTGAGCGACTGAAGTGAACGGAATGAGTTTATTAGGAGATATTTTATTTTTAAGGAGCAAATGTTTGAAACAAGCTGAAATGTTGCTTCTTTTTAATTTTATACTTCTTTCATTATAAGAAGGCTTATAGATTAAAAAAAATTTAATGTACATTTACAGTATGTGAATCTTTTCCTTTATGGCATTTTGGCTTGAGACTTGTTCAGAAAGATGTTCTCCACACAAAGGTTATAAAAACATTTCCTATTGTGTCCTTCTGATACCTTTTTAGTTTCATTTTTATGTTTAGTACTCTGTGCTGTCTTGGCTTTCTTATTGTTGTTTAGTCACTAAGTCGTGTCCAGCTGTTTTTGACCATCATGAATTGCAATATTCCATGCTTCCCTGTTCTTCACTATGATATAGAGTCACTGATAATCACATCTTATTGCCATTCTATTTTATATTTATTCTGATATCTCATTTAATTTTGTTCCTCCTTTCCTTCTGCTTTTTGGATTAATCGAGTTCCTTTCTTTCTTCCCTTGGTTATTTGGATGTTATGTACCTGTTTCTTTTTTCCACTAGTGGCCTTGCATTTTTTTCCACTAACTTATTCTTTTCTCAATTTTGAGTTTTCTTAATTACATTTTGTTGTTCAGTCACTCAGTTGTGTCTGACTCCTTGCAACCCTGTGGACTGCAGCATGCCAGGCCTCCCTCAGTTCAGTTCAGTTCAGTCGCTCAATCATGTCTGACTCTTTGCGATCCCATAGACTGCAGCACACCAGGCCTCCCTGTCTATCACCAGCTCCCAGAGCTTGCTCAAACTCATGTCCATTGAGTCGGTGATGCCATCCAACCAACTCATCCTCTGTCATCCCCTTCTCCTCCTGCCTTCAATCTTTCCAAGCATCAGGGTCTTTTTCCAGTGAGTCGGTTCTTTGCATCAGGTGGCCGAAGTATTGGAGCTCCAGCTTCAGTCCTTGAATATTCAGTCCTTGCACAAGCTTCAGTCCAATGAATATTCAGGATTGATTTCATTTAGGATTGGCTTGTTTGATCTCCTCACTGTCCAGGGGACTCTCAAGAGTCTTCTCCAACACCACAGTTCAAAAGCATCAATTCTTTGGTGCTCAGCTTTCTTTATGATGCAACTCTCACATCCATACTTGACTGCTGGAAAAACCATTGCTTTGACTGTATGGACCTTTGTCAGAAAAGTGGTGTCTCTGTCTAGGTTGGTCATACCTTTTCTTACAAAGAGCAAGCATCTTTTAATTTCATGGCTACGGTTACCATCTGCAATGATTTTGGAGTCCCCCAAAATAAAGTCTGTCACTGTTTCCACTGTTTCCCAATCTTTTTGCCATGTAGTGATGGGACAAGACGCCATGATCTTAATTTTTGGAATGTTGAGTCTTAAGCCAGCTTTTTCACTCTCCTCTTTCAGTTTCATCAAGAGGCTCTTTAGCTCCACTTACCTTTCTGCCATTAGGGTGGTGTCGTCTGCATATCTCAGGTTATAGATATTTCTCCCAACAATCTTGATTCCAGCCTGTGATTCATCCAGTGTGGCATTTTACATGACATACTCTGCATATAAGTTAAATAAGCAAGGTGACAATATACAGCCTTGAAATATTCCTTTCCAAATTTTGAACCAGTCTGTTGTTCCATGTCCTGTTCTGTTATTTTTGACCTGCATATAGGTGTCACAGCAGGTAGGTAAGGTGGTCTGGTATTTCCACCTCTTTAAAAATTTTCCACAGTTTATTGTGATCCACACAGTCAGAGGCTTTAGTGTAGTCAATGAATTAATTAAATTATTTTTATTGGGGTATAGTTGCTTTACAATGTTGTGTTAGGTTCTGCTGTACAGTGAAGTGAACCAGCTACAGGTATAATTATATCCTCTCTTTTTTTGGATTTCCTTCCAATTTAGGTCACCTCAATTTTAATTTTTATTTGATATCTATAAAATTTCCCAATAGAACAAGTCATTAGCAAATTTTAATTTCTTGTGTTTCCTTCTTCCTTTAAAAATCCTTAGTTCTTTCACTTACTAGAGGTATGTATGAACATAGTTTAAAGCAGGGATCAGCAAACTGTTTCTATAAAGGGCCAAATAGTAAATATTTGCGGTCACATGTTCTTTGTTTTAGCTGCTCAACTGAACCTTTGTTATGACACAAAGTTGGTGAGAGACAATATGTAAATGAATCAGTGTGGCTGTGTGCTAATAACACTTCAGACACTGCCATTTGAACCTCACATCATTTTCACTTGCCAGAAAATGTCCTTCTTTTGATTTTTTCAACCATTTAAACGTAAAAGCGTACTTAGCTCACAGGTGTACAAAACCAGCCCATAGTTTGCCAACCCCTGGTTCAAAGAGGAAAAGGGTTCCCTTACAAGGTTTATTACAAAAATAGCAATCTGTTGCTTTCACCCACAACAGATTGGGGTGGGTGATTCCATCTGGGGATGGAATCCATCCTTCCCCAGAATCAACTATATTCATCCCTTTTAGCTGTTTCTTTTGGCATTTACTTCCAATTCTCTAAATAAATTGTTTATAGTGCTATTTCTTTAGTTTTTAGATTTTAGGAATTATTGACTATTCTTACAATAAAAGATGATGATGTAGCTCTTTCACCACCCCCATCCTCCCAGGACAGTATACAATGATCTGCATTAGGTCATTCCTTGGTGTTCACATTATCAAGTCTATGACAACCCTGATTATTTTTCCTTTCTCTCTTGATATATTTTTAAAATATATTTTTTAAAATATTTATTTATTTATTTGACTCTGCAGGGTCGTAATTGCAGCATGGGCGGGGTCTAGTTCCCTGACCAGAGTTCAAACCGAGGCCCCTGCATTGGGAGTGTGGAGTCTTGGCCACTGGACCACGAGGGAAATCCCCTGTCTTGATATTTTGTTTTCCTCAGAGTTAACACTGTTTCTCCCCACCCCCATGTTGCTTGTTCTCTGCTACTTACCATAGGTCAGTACTTTCCCAAACTGGCTATCTCTTCTCTCCAGCTGCTGAAAGATGTCCTTCAGTATTCCATTGATTTCATTCACTTGGAGCACTCTTTCCTGGAGCCTTTTGACTTTCCCTCCAGGCCCACTACCACCTTGGGTTCCCCTTCCATCATCCTGGAGATTGCACTTGACTTTTTTTTTTTGGCTTGGGACCCCAGTTTCATAGATCCCATCTCTACTTCTTTCTTAGGTTTTTCTCTGGTTTTAGTGGCACATCTTCTCTAGTAGCTTCCAGAAAAACATAAGAATGCAGAGGAAGTAAACTATTTGAGTTCTTTCATGTTGGAAAAACCTTTAGTCTATCATGACAATTGACAGTTTGGTCATAGACTTGTAGGTGAGAAAATTTTCCCCTCAAATTTCGAAGGCATTGCTTCAGTGCTTTCTAATTCTTAGTGCTTCACTGAAAAGTCAGAAAATATTCTTGCTTCTGATTTTTTTTAAATTTGACCTATTTTTTTTTTCTCTTTGACAGTTATTCTGTCAACGTATTGAAGATATTATTCAACTCTCTTCTGGATTTCATTGACGCCACTGGGAAGGCAGCTTTCAGTCTAAAAGTCATGGTTTTAAAGATAATCAGCTTTTTAAATCTGGC